AGCAGCTCACGTGGTCATTTATTTGTTAAACATGACCTGAGTGTTTTTAAGTTCATTTTCGTTCCTGCTTTGGTACTTGTGTCATTCTGCTTTTAGAATCTTGTTTGGAGTTATTTTTATGACATTGAATCGATCGAAATATCTTTCGCTAACCGCAGGTGGCTTATTTACTGTTGATTTATGTTCGGACCCTGATTTCCACAAAGAAATTCCATGAAAATCTTTTCTAAGGCTGTTGGGCTTCGGCCGCAGCTTCATGTTTCAGTTGAAAACCGCTTTCGGCTTTTCGAATTATTATTTGACTTAAAATTAATTTATAATTAATTAACACAATACAAGTGGTTGTTCCATTTGATAACTGAGATCGATGTTTCTTCAAGCAAACCTGCGGCAGCTGTTCCGGTTGCTAGACCGAGTATTGAAGCAAACGAACTGTAACACTGTAATGTGAATCAGAAGATAGAGCAGCTATTCTTTGCACCGGCTGTTGCGCTGAAAGTTATACAAAACCGTTGCAAATACAACAGTAATATCGATCTGGAGAAAACGTTGACCAGATGTCGTCGTTTATTGTCTGTGCAGATTTGGTTTTTCGTTGCTATCAAATTCCAGAAGTTAAGCAATGCCATTTCAGCAGTGACTCAGGTTATCACAGGTGAATAGTACCTTTCATACTAAGGAAGCTAATGAATCCGGAAGAATGGAACCTTATCACTGTACAAGACTTTCATTCGCAAGTTTCCAAGCGTCATGCTCTTTTGCTGTTGCATTATGAATTTTATTTTTTTCAGAAATACTGGTATATGCGGAGGGCAAACGTTTGTCTAAGTGAAGAAACTTCTTTTTTTAATAAAACAAAATTTGTCTGATCCGTGAACAAGTATGGCCCAGTCGTCAGATTGGGCAACCATGGCAAACTTTACCTTGAAAAAGTACTGGTAGTTTGGTAGAACTATGGGTTCGGTACTAGTGGTCTCCTAGTGCGAGTTGTGATCGATCAGACTTACCTTTTGTTTTGTTGTATGTGCAACGGATTGTTTTGTAGAATTTAATTTTCAACGCGAAACATAGAGAGTGTTGTACGTTTGTTACGGTAATTACCTTAAGTCGTTTGCATAAACAAAACATCTCTAGCTTGCGATATCCGCTATATTTGCAGCTTTTAAACTCTTTCTGCAAGACGGCAGTTACTATACTGTAGAAAGAAATTTTCATGTCCGACAGCAAATCTGCCTCTATTTTGTTCCTCCCTGATGCTGTTCATTTTCTAGACAACCCACTTTTCGGCTGCAACGTGAAAACGCCCTGGTTTGGAGTAAATGCTTTATGCCCAACTACATTCTCCAATTGGGCCAAACTGCTTTTCTTAATTTCTACATTTAAACTGATCGTCTGTGCGCGAAAGAGAGTAGAGTTATTCCCTACAGGGTCCTACCACTTAACTTTCATTATACGCCAAAATTATTTTTACAATACAGTAGATTGAAAAGATCTTTCCATGGGTCGATTTTCTAACAGTTGAAATTAGTACGTGTCCCATGCCACCAAATATCCTTAAGACCGTAATATTTAATGTGTACAGTCTTTCTGTGACAGAGAAAGAAACTATCATCCAAACACGCTGCTGTATGCAGCTGAACCGTCTTCTTGCTCCTTCCTTAGATCCTTCGGCTATATGCAAGCCGTAAAGCAGCACTGAGGCGTACTTAAGGCGGGATTTTGCGGAAAGTGTTATTCCTTTGTCATCACAATTGCTGGACAAGTCATCGTTTGCCCTCAGTCGATCATGTTTGCCAATTCGCTAGTGAAGAAGCATTACATGATTTGAAAATCTTCGATATTGCCGATCTCTTTTGTCAGTGTGGATTATGAAAATTGGTTGGAGTCGGATTGCCGGGTGAAACGAGTGCAGTGCGGCTATGGCAATCTTTCCTCTGCAACATTATCCACCAGTTGAATTCGAATTATTTGAATTGCTCCACCAAACCAATGCATTCAGCGCGATTCCTGTTGTGGTTGTGGTTGCGTTTCTCGCTGACCAGGAATCACAGGTACAGTTTATTTTAAACGAATAATTTGTAAATGATTTATCATTAATCCATGATCATATTATTAGCCCTGTATCATAATTTTCTACATGGAGTCTATTGTCTGTTAAGAGAGTTACTTTGTTACACAGCTTAGTTAACCGCAGATTGAATATAATGAGAATTATATTCATCTGCTTCGCTTCGATGTTATTGCTTGCATATTTCGCAAAGGTACTGATTTCATTGTCTGCTTTCACGTCTGCACTAATGCTGTAGATTCTAAGCAGTAATTTACTACCAAACTATTATAACAGGAGTCAAACGTGAAGTATGAAAATCAGAAAAATCGCCTCACTTTTTGGTCTGCGCAATAATATCTGGGCAATTCTGTTTGCCCGTTACATAAGGATTACTCTTGGATGTTCTAGAAACATCTTCTTACGATCGATATATCTTACTCCCACATGCTTTTTATCAAACCATCAGATCCATCAGATACGACCACGTTTGATATGTACGTCCTTCGATTTATTCGCCACTTATTTATCAAACCGAGACCAGTTCGTCTCAAGTTGCGGTGTTTAGTCAGCACTGAAACCTAACAAATTGGATGCCCCTCATAGCTCCATAGCGTGACATGCGAATCAAAGTACCGTATAAGTTATGCTGATGTCATTGTGCACATCTCGTCCGTGAGAAGCGTCCATTGTATAGTGGAATATGCGAAATATCTTGATAACCTGTTGAGGTGGGCTAACTCCAACGGACTTGTTCTCAACAAACAGATATGCGCTGAATGTAGATTTACCGTTTGGAACTTAGCCAGTGAAGCTTTATGGGATGCCTCGAACATGTCCAGCTTCAGTCGTTTGGAGAGAGAATTCACAGAGCTGATACCCAATGCCATTTACTTGGGCTTGGTCGTAAGTTACAAGTAGACATGAAGTAATCAACTAGAATGGGTTGCTGGAAAGCGTCGTACTGTACGATACACTGAACGAAATTCGTTAAGGCTTTTTTACAAACCAGCATCATCGCAATTATTGTCTACATCGCACTCGTATACTTTGGGACTCTCAAAGTGAGAGATTTCATCGTGTCTGATCAGTAGCATGTGCAAGCACACTCAGTTT